CAGTTTCAATAATCTCCAGCGTGATCTCTTTCCAGTAATGTTTGGCAAAGGGCTACTACTTCACCTTAATTCAAATCACCAGTCCTTTACAACAGGTATCTTCACAGTTGATACCATCTCTTACAACAACTAGATTTTCTACTTCAACTATTTCTTTGCCAACTGAACTCTCCTTTTGGTGGGAGTGGGAGCAATTCAACCTGTGAGTCACTTTTTATTACTGTAGTGCTTTTTACCATGGAAGAAGCAGTAATACTTCTTTCAGAAGTGGGTACAAAGGGTAAGGACTGTTTACTTTTATTATTATTATTATTGATTCTTTTATTCTTCTGATTTTGGGAGTGCTTTCTAAAAAGCATTTCCTCTAGGTAGGTGCTGAATGCTTTACATACAATCAGCAGTCCCCAAGTAGTATTAAAGACTGAAGTTGGGCTAATCACAAATGATTCAACCTCACTGAAATTTTCCTTTTTGGCTTTTGCATTTAGTTCTGTTCTTAGAGGTATGTCCAAAACTTGAACTCATCCTTTGCCAGAATCATCTGCAACTTTCCCACCCCATCTCAGTTGATGACAGCTGAACTCCATTACTCAGGCCAAAACCCTTGGGGTGACCCATGATTTTTTGCTTAGTGTTAGATGTTCTTGCTATTTCTCACCCTTACCCTCACCCTATATCCAGGCCATAGGGAAACTGCTAGCTGTACCCATACAGTTTTGGAACTTATCATTTATCATTATGTTGGCAAGTGCTACCAGATTATGGTCCAAGCCACTGTGAATTCTTACATATGTCTACTCATAGACTGCTAAGGTTAATGCAGCAGTAGCCAGAGAATAATATCTAATAATATTAGATCCCTGTAGTGACTCTCCATTTGCTCAGAATAAAAGAAGCTAGAGTTCTTACATTGATACTCAAATCCTGTGCTCCTGGGGGCTTGCGGGTTAGCTCAGTTGTTCAAAGTGCCTGCTTGGGCAAACTCAGTCAGGTACAGGGGACTGCAGTTCAGTCCCCAGCTCCACATGCCGCACCAGACCCTCACTGAAGGCAAGCTGAGCTAGCCAAAAAAAGAAAAAGAATCCTTCTTAAGTTTTGAGGGCTTGCACATTAGCTCAGTTGGTTAAAGCGCCTGCCTGGGCAAACCCAGTCAGGCTCAGGGGCCCATGGTTCAATCCCCAGCTCCACATGCTGCACCAGATAGATCCACCCTTAAGGCAGCCTGAGCCAGCCAAAAAGAAAATGAAAAGAATCCTTCTCAAATCCTGTGCCCTTATCTGGTCCTGCTCAACTTCTACCCCTTAGTATGCTCCACCCACTAAGGCCTAATTCACTGTCATCTCTTTGAAACCTTTGAGTATGTCTCACCATCCTAGCATGACCTATAGTGACTAACTGCAATCAATATTCAACTTTATAGTTCCCTTCACAACATGTAGCCCTGATTTTTTTGTTTTGCTCATCACTTCCTAACATACCTAAAACAAAATATTGCTTGTCTGCATCACCATGAAAGAGAAATTGCTGAAAAACAAGGAATGGGTTTGTTCATTGTCACCTGTCTCCCAGAAAAGTGTCTGGCTTGTGGTGATATTTCCTGATTATTTGCTAAATGAATGAATGAGACAAGAAGAAAAACCAGGACTGTCTGGTGTTGTGGAATCTCTCTATAAAGTTTTTCAGGAAGGAAGGAATAATCAGTTGTCAAATGGTTCTGAGATGGCTAGTCAGACATGTTCTTTGGATTTATTTAATTTTTTTTGGAACCAGGGATAGAACTCAGGCCCTTGTGCTTGCCAGGGAACGCTTATTCCTCTGAGCCATCTCCCCGGCTCTCTTTGGATTTAGTAATGTGAAAATTGTAGTGTGACCTTGTGGAAAGCAGTTACAAGGAAGAAGTCCATTAAGTTTGGAAGAATAGTGAATGAGAGACAGTCCTTACAGATTGGATTATGCAGAAGACTTCAAAATGGGGATAGAAATTCAGGGAGAGTACTTTCTATAAAAGGAAAAATTTTAGAACAGGTTTACATACTGTGAAGAATGTTCTAATAGAAAGTGTAAGGGACCAGTGGAGAAAGGGTAGCAAAGATCCTGATGTGAGCAAAGGCCTGCAGTGCAAGGTTCTCAAGAAGGACTGAACAACAAAACTGATAGAAACTGAGTCTTTATATTTTGCATAGTTTCAAAAGCTGTCTTTTTTTTTTTTTTTTTTTTAATGTGTTTGGTACAGGGTCTCACTATGCTGGTAGGACTCATACCGCTCCTCCTGTTTTCAGACTCCTTAGCGCTGAGATTACAGGCATGAGCCACCATGTCTGGTCTTTGTGTCCAGGAGGCATGTGGTGCTGGGGTTCGAACCTGGGTCCCTGTGCTTCCTTAAGCAGGCACTTAGGCCCCAAAAGCCTTCTTTGTGGTCATGAGCAGCTTCCTAAATTTAGGATCCACAGAACCTACAACTTGGGATTTGTCTCATAAGTACTTCAAATTAAGTTTTCCAAAACCAAATTTTATCACATAAAACCTGTTTTATTCTAATACCAGAGATATAACTCTTTTATCCTTTCACAAATTAGTCACTAGATCTTGTCAATTTTTCTTTTCCAGTTCTCTAGTTACTTCTTGCAACAGTGTGTGCAGTAGTAAACAATTGGAAATGAACTGTCTCTGAGAATGGAAATAGTTAAATTTTGATTCTTTCGTTCGTTCATTCATTCGTTTGTTTTTTTTAATGTATTTAGTACAGGATCTACAGGATCTTACTACACAGATAGGACTCATAGTGATTCTCCTGTTTTCAGCCTCCCAAGCGCTGGGATTACAGGCATGCACTACCATACCCAGTGTCAGTCACTATCTCAGCATGCCCCAGGGGTGGGGCCTGCACGGCATGGCACGGATCAAACCCCAGTCCCTGTGCTCTGCCTAAGCAGGGGCTTTAATCTGCTGAGCTCTCTGGCCAGCCCAAATTTTGATATTTTCAAATAACAAAAATACGTGCTAGTACTTTGCTAGATTTAGTATATTGCTAGATTTCCTAAAAGGAAAATATAAACAATATCTTTTTAAAAATTAAAAGGTATATATCCATACATACACTTTAAAAATATGTGCAAAAACTGACACTAAGGAAGTGAACTGGGAGGCTGGGAACAGGAGTAGCAGGAAGGCTTCACAGGAGACCCTTTTTACCATGTGAATATTAATCTATATGTTCACATGAAGTATGTAAATATAACCAATCTAGCTGCTACATCAGCCTGAAATTTGTCCCTCATTTATCACATGGACTATGGCAATAACAGTCCAAAATCTTAAAAATTTGTTCAGCTCCTACCTGTTCACATTTATTTCAGCCATTTATCCACCTAAGCCTTCAAGGAGATATTTTTTTAAAAAAACAAAGGTAATGGAGCTACAGCCCTAAACAAATCTTAGTACTGACTACTGATGCAAAATTTTTCAAACTGTTGTAGAAGTTAGATCAAAAGCACAGAAATATTTTGGGGGTCATCTTAAAATAAGATAGCACAAACTGTGACATGAACATATATTGGAATCATAAATAAGATTTCATTGACATTTATTATCCAAAAAACACTAATCTGTGGGACAAAGTCCAGGATTCTTCCTCATCTGACATCTGCCTACTCTAGCATATACGTCTTACTTCTAGTTAGGAATGATTTGCTTTTGCATTCTGCTTAGATTGCAGTGTTTTCCTCTTAAATTATGAATTTTTTGAGAAGAAAAACATAAATACTTCTCTTTGTGACTAAAGAATCTGTAAAAAACAAATACTATGTCCCACTAAGAAAAACCTCACTTAATCTCTCCAACTATTTGTAATCAATTTCTTGTTAGCCTAAAAAGACTGTCCCATTGCATTTTCATCCATTCCCATGAACATTCCCAAGAATATTTTGGAGAAATGTCAGAAGAGTAAGTTCTTTCCCAGTTCCTCAACATAAATATGTATCTTTCTATTTGCTTCAATGTATGTATGAAGTCCTTTTCATTTCATAGTTGGCTGTAAAAAAATACTAATATATGAAAATGACAAATTAAATCCATATTGGTACTCAACCAAAATAATTGAGTTACTAGACTTTTGTTTGGGGTCACTAGCAGAATTGTGGAATGTTGGTATCGAAAAGAGGCCTTTGATGTAGAAAAAGAGTTGCTTGTGTTGTTCAAGTGGCTGAAGTAGGAGCTTCTTGGAAGACATTTCATATTTTTAGATTCACCACTTTTTGAGACAGTGCCTTGTCATGCAGTTCACCTTAAAGTTCAGCTCACTGTGTAGCTCAGGGTGGCCTCACTCACAGCAATCCTCCTGCCTCAGTCTCCCAGTTGTTGGGATTTTAGGATGCACTGGCAGGAGTCATCTCTTTTCTCCCCTACATATAATATAAAGTGTAACCCAGTCTTGCTTTTTGCTGTCTCATAGTCATTCACTATAGTGAGATCATTTTATGAAATAAATGTAGGAAAGTTATTCTAGCAAAAATAAGATAAAATGTATTTCTTTATAAAGGGATGATTTACATATTTAACATACATACTTTGAACATCTGAAAATATGTATACACTAAACATGGAGAACTTTGTACAATTAGAAATATTGTGGGGCCAGAGAGATGGCTTAGTGAATAAGCATTTCCCTGGCAAGCGCAAGGGCCTGAGTTCAATTCCCGGTTCTGCCAAAAAAAGAAAAAAGAAATGTTGTATAGTAGAAAATATTAGAACTTTGAGCTTTTGATTATTTGATTTGTATTCTTTCTTTGAGGTTAGTAGCAACAATTAAGGCAGTAAACTTCTACAGGCTATTGAGTAGCAAAATCCTTTGTCTCTGTTAAGATTTATTACTGATATATTTGCAGCTTTTCCACAATTCTTAGATTATTCAGTTTTTCATATTCAAACTTTGCAACATGGATTGTGTTTACTGATTTTATTTATTTTTACAAACTGAAATGTGACAATTTGTTTTATTCTAGGTTTTGGGCGAAAAGATGTAGTTGAATATTTACTTCAGAATGGTGCAAATGTCCAAGCACGAGATGATGGGGGGCTTATTCCTCTTCATAATGCATGTTCTTTTGGTCATGCTGAAGTAGTCAATCTTCTTTTACAACATGGTGCAGACCCAAATGCTCGAGATAATTGGAATTATACACCTCTCCATGAAGCTGCAATAAAAGGGAAGATTGATGTTTGCATTGGTAAGACTTTTTTTTTCTCCAAAATTTGCCATTAATTGTAACTATTTTGATTCTAAATTGAATTAATTTGTTAATAGCAAATTCTGCCTGACTGAATTTAAATGTTTAAGAACACTTCAAATGTAATCTAACCACTATGTCTTTGTGTGTGTAGTATTTAAATTTTTTTGGAGAATAGAGTTTAAAAGTTTCTATTCTCTAGAATATTACATTCTTTTGAAGGATAATATACACAAAAAACCAAGGAAGAACGTGATAGAAATTAACATTGAGTGTTAGAGGATTGTAGGGATCTGTTGGTCTCAGTGTGATCAGTTCTGCCTGGTGAGAAATGGGGCAGGAATGAGAAGAAAACAAGGAGACAAAAGCTGGGCTAGGCAGTGGCTGGTTTGCCTGGTTGGCAAAAGGAACCCAACCCACAAAATCTTTGGAAAGTTAGTAACACATGACACAAGGTTGCCTAGCAACTATTGGCCGACCTTAACCAGACAGGATGTTTATCTCAGGACTGAGGTAGCTTGTTTGCTTTAGGCACTGAGGCCTAGTCCTGCCTATGCACCTTTGATTTTCCAGCTCCCAACAGAGGATATTGATTAGTGCAGAGACTTGGCAGAATTCAAATCTGAAGGCTTATAGGACATGGTAGCATGTACCTGAAATTCCAGCACTGGGGAGGCTGATGAAGGAGGATTACTCCAAGTTTGAGGCCAGCCTGGATTACAGAGTGAGTTCAAGGCCAGCCTGAATTGCAGTAAAACCCTATCTCAAAGACAAACCCTCAGTGTGTAAATTAAAAGAAAAACAAAAACCACAAACCCTCAAGGCCCAACTTGCTGCAGTTTTTCTAGTCTTTCAAACAAAAGAAACGTTTTAAAAGTGGATAGGGATTTCTTTATAAAAAGCCTTGAATTTTAGGTTGATATGCTACATAGGACCTTGATATGCTATGTAGGCAGTATAATACTGAAACTTATTTGAAGAGAGGAATAGCTTCATGAGAGTAGTATATTTTAGAGTAATCTGGTAGAAGTCTGGATAAGATGGGCCACATCAGGGAAACTACTTACAAAGCTATAAAATAACCCAAATGAGAAATAAGGATAACCTGAGGTTGTTAGAGCTTTAAAATGGTAAGAGAAATAAAGCATTTAGTGGAAAAATGTAATTTAAAAATACTTGAGCTTAACAAGAGAGGATTTTTTTTTAACAGGTAAACACTGACAAATTGTATATGAGAAGACAGAGTTTTTATTAACTTAGTATTTACTTTGCTGAGCTAAACAGAATCAGGGATTTTTGAACTCAGTATTGTCTTAACTCTATTTTTCACCTGATGTACAACAGAAAAATTGAAATCCTTGAAGGTAGAAAGTAAGGATTGAGAACTGAGAAAAGGCCAAGGACTCTACCAGGCTTAAATCAGCTACCTTCTCCCCAGGTCCCAATTCAGTATTTATATTAAAGTTACCACCTTAGTTATTTAAAAAATACAAAATGTATTCCCTAGTTACTGCTGCCAAATGCTCTTTTTCTATGTGTTATTCTGCCCATCCTTGGTGTATCAAGAGTCTCAGACAGATAGTTTTAATAATATGATAATTTTAATATGATGTAGTTTTCTAAATACTGCTACAGACCTACGCCATCCACTATAGTAGCTAAAGATATGCAGTGTGACTAGACTGAATTAAAGTGTTATAAGGGGAAAATTCATAACCTATTTCAATGACATGCAGAAAAGAGAATGAGAACCAACTTAATATTTTATATTGATTAAAATGTGAATTTATTGTTTTTTTGATATTTTGGATTCAATAAAATATGTTACAATTAAACTATTCCTTTTTAACGTATCTACTGATTTTTTGTTTTTTCCAGAACCGGGGATTAAACTCAGACCCTTGCGCTTGCCAGGCAAGCACTTATTCTACTGAGCCATCTCCTCGGCCCCATTAATGTATCTACTAACAAATTTTAAATTACAAATATGACTATGGCTTACATTTTATTTCTGTTGAACAGCATATTATAGATAGAAATAGAATAAGAGCTGAGCATCCTTTATATATTTGCCTGTTTTTCTAAAGCTTCTTATTCATGACTAGAATATGCTATATGTCTTTATGAAATAGATATAGAGCATAATAAAGGCTTCCCCTTTTGTGTGCCTTGGTTTACAGTGTACCAATTTGAGGATTTTTTTGTATTGTTTTTGATTTTGAGGAGGAAATGGTTAGCTGGGTGTGGTGCATGTACCTATAATCCCAACACTCTGAGAGGCTAGAGAAAGAGAATCATAAATTGGAGACCAGCCTGGGTAGTTTAGCCAATTGGCAAGACCCTATCTTGAAATAAAAGATAAAAAGGACTAGAGATGTAGCTAAGAGTAAAGGCCCTGGAGTCAGTCCCTGGGTTCAATGCCCAATACTACAAAAGGAAATGAGGGAAGAAAGAAGGGGAGAAATAGCTTATGTGGCTCACAATTTAGAGATTTCATTCCATGATCCACTGACAGCATGCAAAAAGGGTGTGGTGAAGCAAAGCTGCTTATTGTAGCTCAGAAGCTGAGTATGAAAAGAGCACCAGAGAGGAAGGAATGAGGGTCCAGATGGACCTCTAAACCCCACCTCGCTGACATACACAGAAGAGTACTTTACTGATCTCCTGGGTGGCTCCCAAGCCATTTAAACATTTTTGATTTGGGGGTTTGTTAACCCTAGAGAGAGCGTTTAATTTTAACTCAAAATTCAATGTGTTTAACCTCGTGTACTAACTACTCAACTGTTAATTCCTATCTGTATATCTCTAGTTAAAGTTTTTTTTTCTTAAGAAAAGATGTCCTTGTAAGGAATAATTTGTTGGTTTCAGTGAATACCTACTCTGCTCAGGCTATTCTATTTTGCTGTTAAAGTGCAGTGCCTTATGGTGTCACAAATGGACATATCTGAACAACTACCTGCTGCCAGTTACTCAGTTTTCTGATGAATAGGGTGATGATTGATGGTTTTATAAGACTTTTTAATCCTATAAATCTCTGTTCCTGGGCTTTCTAGGGTTGTAGACACTTTATTTCTATTAGAATAGAACAGTCTGTCTTGTATGGCCATTGTTCCTTTAGAATAAGAAAAGCTTTCAGGCAAACTTGGCCTTTTGTAATGTATTTTGTATCTGTCTTCAGTCCCTTGTCACTAGCTATTTAAATAACAGGAAAATCTCACATTGAATTGAAAATCTTATTAAATGTGCTTTTAGTACATTAAATCATAGAACATTTTATACATTCTTAAATTTAAAATAACATTTACTTTACTATTAGGCTATAAAAGTCTTTTTTTTTTTTTTTTTTGGGGGAACCGGGTATTGAACTCAGGCCCTTTTGCTTGCGAGGGAAGCGCTTATTCCACTGAGCCATCTCCCTGGCCCCTGAAGGTCTTTAAATAACTTCTTGACCGGAACTTTTAAGAAAATGATTTACCACAATCATGTTGTCTTCATAACCATTGTAAAAAGTGTATTGTTATTTTGCAGTGCTCTTACAACATGGAGCAGAGCCAGCCATCCGGAATACAGATGGAAGGACAGCATTGGATTTAGCAGACCCATCTGCCAAAGCAGTGCTGACTGGTAAGTCTGTATGACCTCTTTGATATTTCCACGAAGAATATAAAGAACAGTCTTTGTAGATAGGCTGTCTGCCTCCTGGAGTTAGTGACTTCAATTAGAGTTTTTAAATAGTATCAATTCAGTTGCTTTTGTTTTCTACATCTAGACAGTTGATATTTGATGCTTCTTTTAAAAAGGTACAACTCTAGGGGCCGGGGAAATGGCTGAGTGGAATAAGCATTTCCCTGGCAAGCTCAAGGGCCTGAGTTGAATCCCCGATTCCGCCAAAAGAAAAAAAAAAAGGTACAACTTTAAAAAAAGATAAAACTTTCTTTTCAAGTTCATCTTTAATTTTGTCATTGTTGCCTTGTTTAGGGCAGAGCATGATAGATAATTGTGTGTGCTATCATATATTGAGGATATTTTACAATTTCCCTAAATTTTTCAGATAGCTTAAGTCTATTTCTATAAGCATAACTTTTAAAATAATTTGTAATATAAGCAGTAATCATTCTTTTCAGTGATCATCTTTAAAACAGTGAAATCTGGGCCCACGAGATAGCTGGGTTTTTATCCCTGACACCACATGCCATGCTGGCCCCACCCCTGGCATACTGAGCCAGCCACCAAGACTGGAGTTGGTGGCACATGTCTGTAATCCCAGTGTAGGGGAGGCTAAAAACAGGAGGGTTACTACAAGTCCAAGATGGATAGTGAGACCCTGTACTTATATGTTAGAACAGAAAAAAAAGTGAAATCTGATGTACTTATTCTAATACCATGAATAATGGTAGTTATTGCCATAATATATTCATGCCTTTGTAATCTATTACTGTGTAAAGCTCTAAAATTTAGACTACCAAGCTTTTTAAAATTGTACTGGGCCAAGGAAAACACAGCATAAATGCCTGCCTGGGAAGCACAAGGAAGGTTCCAAATTCAATCACTAATACCAAAAAGAAAATTAAAATTGTATGTACTTCATGTGTTTTTTCCACTGTCAGTGTGCCTTCTGTTTAAGCAATTCACTTATTAAATTACTAGCTACTATGTAATGACCAGTAGACTCAAGGTCTAATCTGAAAAGGAAAATCCAGCTGGATATGGTACCTTGATCTAATTTCAGCCACCCTCTTGCGTCCTGAGGCAAGAAGATCTTAAATATCAGTCCAGCCTGGGAAACTTAGCAAGACTCTTGTTTCAGAATTAAAACAAAAAAAGCTCAATAGTAAGACAGTGCCTAGCATAAGAGAGACCTTTGGTCCAATTACCAGTTCCACCAGAAGAAACAAGCAAACTAAAAAAAAAAAACAAAAACAACAAACCTCAGTTCCTTGAAAGGTGAAAGCCTAAGGAGTTCTGCTGTCTACCTTTGTGCTTGGACTTTAGACTTTGCAAAGATTATAGTAGCATTGCTGAGGCAGTTAAGACTAGTCTCTGAAAAGGCTTTTGGATCTATGAGCTACTATTACAACTGTCAGTTAATTCAGTGGTTGTTCCCACTTTCACTATTCTAAGCTATTCCATACTTACACCTTTTTAAGAAGTCGTGGGGTACGAAGTGTCAGCAATCACACAGTTCATACAGTTCAAATTATAGGTAGCAATTTGGCTGTTTTTTTATCAAATCTTTGTTAATTTAAAACTTTTTGGAGATTCTGTCTTGGCAATGTAGAGGAAACAGCATTCCTGTTATTCTAAGGCACTCATACAGGTTAAGTTTTGTGACTATTCAGGGAAGTAGCAAAACCCTCCTCACAGGAATATAACGTAAGGAAACAGCTGAAATACTGAAATAAGGGAAGCTACCAAGAGATTCTACCTCAGCTCAGATCTGTAGAAGGCCCAAAATACTCCAAGTGTAGAAACCTCTGGAGGTGAAAGCCAGCTTAGTGTTTGCATTAGCCACCACAAACTGCAGGACAGACCTGTCCTAGTAGCAGTCCTGTGGGATGCAGGGACCCAGAAACTGACATATTAATGCCAGAGAGGATATCCCTGATCCCAGGTGGGATGAAGAGCTTCAGAGAAGTGGAGAAAAGCAGAGTGAAGTAGGCAGAACTAAAAATCAGTCACTGACTCAGACATCCCAGACTCAAGCTTGCATCTCCAAAGGTGTGAAGTGACTGTGACCTAAAGAGAGACTCTAGGGACTTAGGCAGAGACAGATGTGCTAAAGACAGGGGATGTGGAGAGTTTACATCACTCCTGGCTCTGACTTTTGAGCAAGGCACCTGGCATATGCAAGTATTGGAGTTGAACAAAGAACTCCAAAATGGAGTTCATGACCCCTGGATGCTTCTGAGATCATGGGCAGGAGCAAGATGGGGAGCTGAGTGTGCCACTGATTGGAGAGAAAGAAAGAGTAGAAGCTTGTATAAAGGCTGTGGCAGGCACATAGCCTGGGAGCCCTAGAGAGGAAACTTTCTGTGGAGATGTGGTGGAAATACAGGCAGAAACTCTAACCTTGAGACAACAGAGAGAGTGGCTCCAACTCTACTTCATGGTTCCTGAGAACACTAGAGATTGTTTAGTATGGTTGGTGGTCTGAACACAGCAACAATGACAGACTGCTCAGAGATAATTTATGATCCCCAGTTGAAAAAGTAAAAAAAGAGTTTTTTTCTTTTTCTTTTTTTTTTTTTTTGGCTTCTCTTTTCTAGCTTTCACTCTTCCTAACTCTCAGCTTGTTCTCATTGTTCATCATTGCTATTCCTATGTCTTCCTGAGGTTTTTTTTTTGTTTTTGTTTTTGTTTTTTTTTTTTTTTTGCAGAACCGGGGATAGAACTCAGGCACTTGTGCTTGCCAGGGAAGCGTTCATTCCACTGAGCCATCTCCCGGCTCCTCTTCCTGAGTTATTGAAAGAGTTGAAAACTTTTAAAACAAATTTGGTATTATAAGTTGATACATGATTAGCTCTTTGTGGATTGTTTTGTTTTGTTGGTATCAGCAATTGTACTCTGGACCTTGCATATCTCAGGCAGACACTTGTGCCATTGAACTATATCCCCAGCCCCTGATTGGCTCTTTGGGCATTAATATTATTGGCATTTCTCTCTTGACAGTGCAGAGGTAGGAACTGATCCTAGTAATCTGAAATAAGTAAAGTTGGTACCTTCACACTGAATCATCCCAAAGCCAAGGGTACATCACAGGGCGAAATCCATTAAACATATCTCATCTATGGTGTGGAGCTTTCTACCCCAAATTATCTACAGTCTTCACTGAAAAACACAATGATCATGAGAAAACAGTAACAGGACTCCCAAATCTAATCTCACAGAAGTAGATGAATTTCTAGGCAAAAAACCCGTAAGACTAATACTTGAAATAGTAGAAAAAAATCAAGACATAAAGAGCTGAATGAATAGATAACTAAAATAATCAGGAAGCTTAAAGAATATACAAATAAGCAGCTGAATGAAGTAAGAAAGGCAATGCAGGATATGAAAGAGCACACAAGTAGCAAATTAGAGGTTAGGCGGGGTGGGAGGAGATAGCTTAGCAGGGTAAGTGCCTACCTGGCAAGTGCCAAGATCCTGAGTTGGATCCCTGGTATAAGAAAAGAAAAAAAGAGGTAATGAAAAGAAATTAAGCAGAAGTCCTAGAAATAAACTTAATCAGAAAGCAAGTAGGCAAGATCAGTCACAAAATATCAGGACTTGAGGACAAGATTGACATGCTAGAACATTACTCAGTAGTAATTAGAATAGAGGCAGTCAAAAGATTATCCAAGAGCTCTTAGATGCGTCTAAAAGAATAAACTTATGGATCATTGGACTTGAGGGAAGGGCATAAGTGGAGACTAATAGTACAAAAAGTTTGTTCACTGAAATTATGGCAGGAAATTTCCCAAGTCGAGGCAGTGAGATGGATACTGTTATGGTTTAGATCTAGAATTTTCCCCCAAATTCTCATGTGAGGAAGGGAGTTGAATCATGGGTACACTATACTCATTAGTGGTTCATCCATTGATCAGTTCAATAGCTAAATGTGCTTTTAGCAAGTGAGGCCTGGTTGGAGATGGGTCACTGTTTGGCCTGGAAAGAGGTATTCAGGTCCCCAGTTCCTCCGTTTGCCCTGTGCTTCCTGACTGCCATGGCGTGAGGATCTTTCCTTCTTCCATGCCCCTCTACTATCCTATTACTGCTTTGGAGCTCTCTAAACACGGACTAGAATTGTGAACCAAAATCTGCTCTTCAAATTATGGGTTTTAGGTTTTGAGTTCAGTGGCAGGAAAATCACTGAGACAGATATCCACAGAAGTATGTTTTTAGAATCTCAAAACAGGCACAACACTTTATAATAAAAATTCCAAAAAATCAAAAGAGCACACTAAAAGCTGTTAGAGAAGTGGGCCAGGTTACCTTTGAGGATAGAGCTCATCAGAATAAGAGCAGATTTTGCAACACAAACTTTAAAAGCCAGGAGAGTTTAAAAGTTTTTCAGGACCTAAAAAAAAGTATTTGCTAACCTAGATTACTGTGCTGTAAAATTGTCCTTCAAAATTGACACAGCGGTACAGACCTTTCATGATAAACTAAAGAAATTCATGGCCACTAAACTAATACTGTAGAAAGTACTTACAGAGCCAAATGTGGTGGGGCATGCCTATAATCTCAGCACTTGGGTGGTTGAGACTGGAGGATTGCCACAAGTCCAAGGGCAACCTGGGCTACATAGTGAATTCAAGGCCAGTCTGAACTACAGAACAAGACCCTGTCTCAAACAAAACAAAAATAAGAATCCAAAACAAAAAAGAAGGGCAACAAAATCCAAGAACCAAAACAGAAGAATAAATTTCATTGGGGGGGGGGGATTAAATAAATAAATAAATAAATTTCACTGTGAAAGTAAACAAAGGAATCAAGCACTAGAAAAATAATACAATGACAAAGAGTTAGTATATTTGTTTCAATAATATAAATGATCTTAACTTGCCAACCAAGAGACATGTTAACCACAAAAATGCACACAGACTGAGAGTGGAAGGATGGATAATAATAGTACTTCCAGCATGTACTAATCCCCCAGTGTAGGTATTGCAAACATACACTGATTTTAAAAAAAACAGGAAAAACTTAAAGGGAAAAAATAAAATTCTCATAAGATAGTTTTGTATTCATTTATGTTATTGGCATAAAGAATTTATAATTAATCTTTTTTATATTTGTGCATATTTAAAATAGCATTAACTAAAAGTTTTTTGTTTTTGTTTTTTTTGAGACAGGATCTCACTCAGGTTGCCTTCAACTCACTAACATAGCCAAGGCTGGCTTCAAACAGAGTAATCCTCCTGCCTTAGCCTCTTGAGTACTCTGATTATTGGTATGCACTAGCACACCTGGCTTAAAAGAGTCTTAATGTTGAAAAAATTTTGTGATTCATAATAGTTTTAATGGTCATGTCTAAGTGATGCAGTGGAATTTTTTTCTTAGTATTAGGATATGGGGCTTTGTTTCTTTGGTTTTATTTGTACTATTTTGCTGCCAGGGATTAAAACCTAGGGCTGGGGAAAAAGTTGGGTGGTCTAAGCGCCTGTCTGGCAAGCACAGGGACCCAGATTAGATCCCTGGTACCAAATGCTATGCCTGCCTCAGAATCCCAAGGCATGCCATGTTGGCCCCTGAAACTGGGCATGGTAGTATATGCGTGTAATCCCAGCAGAGGGGAGGCTGAGACAGGAGGATCACTAGGAGTCCAAGCTGCATATAGCAAGACCCTGTACCAAATAAATAACAAAAGATTTTTTTAAAAATTAAAAAAAAAAATGAACCTAGGGCCTCATGTGTTGAGTCTCCATCGAAGTATTAAACTACATCCATAACCTCTTATTTTGGTTTTTAGTGAAATTATGAATAGTTTTTTATTAGTTACTCACTTTAGGAAATTTTAAGAAAAAAGGGAAGAGTTTACCAATAGTCTACCACCCAAGACAGACTTGTTTAATATGTTGGTTTATTTAGTTCCTTCTGGACTTTGTTTTTGTCTGCATATTGCTTTTATATAGTATTAATCTAATACTTCATTATACCCTAACCTGGTAACACATGCCTGTAATCCCAGAATTCTAAGAGATCAAGGCAAGAGGATTGCAAGTTTAAACACAACTTGGGAACTTGGTGAATTGGTGAAATCCTGTATCCAAAAAAGTAAAAAGGGCTGGGGATATAGCTCAGTGTGAAGGCCTTGTATTTAGTCCCTACTACTACCAAAAAACAAAACAAGCACTCCATTAATTAGACTTGAATCATTCTTTTTCCATTTCCATAACAGAAGCATTCTTCACATAAGCACTTTTAGCTTACATATTCTGTTGATTAACCACTTTCCATTTATTAAAAATTTATTCACAGATTTATCTGTATTAAATACTTGTTAAAGATTTAATGCAATTCCCATCAAAATACCATTAGTATACCTTACAAAAAATGTAGAGAACACATTCCTAAAACTCATTTGGAACCAGAAAAGACCTAGAATAGCAAATCCTGGGCAACAGAAAGTAACACAATCCCTGACTTAAAATTATAATACAAAGCTACTGTGATAAAATCAGCATGGTACCAAAAAAAAAAAAGAAGAAGACCTGAGGATCAGTGGAACAGATTAGAAGATGCAGGCACAACTACAAACACACTCAGCCACCTTATCTTTGACAAAGGGGCCAAACATGTTCACTGGAAGATAGTCTCTTTAATAAATGGTGGTAGAAAACTGGCTTTCCACATGCCAGAAACTAAAACTAGACCCATGTTTATCATCATGCACTAAACTAAAGTAAAAATGGATTAAAGATTTAAATATTAAACCAGAAACATTAAATCTACTGGAAGAGAAAGTAGGTAGAAACCTCCAGACATAGGAGTAGACAGAGAGTTCATGAACAAAACCCAAACTGCATGGGATATACTTAAAAGAATTAACTGGGATCTCACACTATTAAAGTTTTTGCACATCAAAAGAAATCATCGGACCAGCCAGATAGCTCAGCAGACTAAAGTGTCTGCTTAGGCAGAGCACAGCAGCCAGGGTTTGAGCCCCTGTCATGCTGTGCCGGCCCAGCCCTCAGGGTACGTTGAGATGGCGATTGATATTGGGTGTGGTGATGCCTGCTTGTAATCCCAGTGCTTGGGAGGCTGAAAACAGGTGGATCACTATGAGTCTGATCTATGTAGTAGAACCCTGTAGACCCTGTACTAAATAAAAAAAAAAAGTTGTATGCTGTCACATATATCTTCTGCTTTGAATAATCACTAGGAAGAAGACAGTACACAGTGCATCAACTCTTATAACTGTCCTCATAGCTTGTTTGAAACTCAGTTTCATTGTTATATGTTTAAAGGGAAAGAACAACTGGGATGAGGGAAAGGAAAAAAGGAAGGGAAATACAAGGTATCTAAGATAATTCACCATTTATTTCTAGTAATTTATTGGAAGGAGCAGTTAATCTTTAGTTTTTTAGGGTTTTTATTTCTAGGTTTTCTTTTTATTGGTATTCACTTCAGTAACTTGAATCCACAGATATAAGCAGTATATGACCAGAGTTACAAGTAGACACAGATTACACCTGCAAGTTTCTGTTCACAAAGGTCACATGTGCTGGTACATGAATTAGAAGTATGCATCAAGATTATGGCCAGACTGTTTTCAAAAGGCAAATATATACAATTACATATTGAAAATATGAAGAGATGGTCTACACACTTTAAAAAATCAAATGTTGCTTATAATGAAGAGATGTATCACAGCTCTAGGATTCAAGTGACAAGCAGTAAGATCCTCAGAAATTAATACTGGTCAAAGAGAACGGGAATATTTTTACATTTCACTGAAAATACACTGACTACTAGAATACAAAACCTAGCAGGAACTGAAGGAAAAAAAATTACAAAATCTAAAGCCAGTTACTTAATATTTCTTATTACCTAAACAACAGCATGACTTTCAAAGAAAACTGCACCATGATTAAAACTGTCAAGCAATCTCACATAAAGTTCTCTAAAAAATTACTTAGTTTGTTGATCTTGCATTGTTACATCTGATAATCTGAGCAACTTTGTTGAAGGTAACAAAATAACAGCGGTTGTTAATTTTGTATCATTCTATTTTGAAATCATGTATTTTTACTATTACTGTGTTTTTTTTGTTCTTTATTTGGTTTTTTCCTTCTAAAAATAAAAATAAGAGGCCAGGGAGATGGCTCAGTGGAGTAAGCGCTTCCCTGGCAAGTGCAAGGACCTGAGTTCAATCCCCGGTTCCACCAAAAAAAAAAAAAGTAAATGCCTGTTAAGTATCGTTTACCTGGCATCTTTTTGCATAAAATGCCATTGAGTTTGTTTTGTTTTAATTTCTGCTCATTTCTTGATTCACAGGTGAATACAAGAAAGATGAACTCTTGGAAAGTGCCAGGTGTGTACTAATGGTATAATTGTACTGTGAAAGCATGGCCATTAAAATACTTTTTACAATAAGTATAAGCTAGGTGTGGTGGCATGAGCCTATAATCTCAGCATTTGAAAGGCTGAGGCAAAAAGATTACCAACTGTTCAAGGCCCGCTTGGTCAACAGTGTGAGTTCAGCCTGAACTATAAAGAAAGACTATCTTTCAAAACACACACCTACTCCAAAATAAAACCCAATAAGTATAAAAGTGAATGTGGGGCCAGCCTGATAGCTCAGTGGACTAAAGCGCCTGCTTAGGCAGAGCACAGTGGCTAGGGTTTGATCCTGGGTGTGCTGTGCCAGCCCTGCCCCCGGGGCACAGCACTTGGGAAGCTGAAAACAGGAGGGTCACTAAGAGTCCAATCTATGTAGTAAGACCCTGTAGACCCTGTCCTAAATACAGGAAAAAAAAAAAAGTGAATGAATCTGTCTTAATGGAGGCAGTGTATGTCTCCAGTAGGATATATAATAAAGGATAAAAGTTACTAATACAGCTTTTGCTGTTGTAGGAGTGGCAATGAGGAAAAAATGATGGCGCTACTTACACCATTAAATGTCAACTGCCATGCAAGTGATGGTAGAAAGGTAATATTTTGGGGATAATGTTTGTGTTTTCCTCCTAATAGATGCATTTATTTTACTAAGCTTTATTTGAAAAGAGTTCTTGTGTTTTAAGTAGTAATACAGATGCTTAAAATTAGTAAAAATTTAAAGATCATAGGCATTTAGTTGTATGCATACAGTGTACAATAGTGAATTTAAAACTTTTATGCATTCTTCAGTGTATATTAGATTTTTTAAGGACCAAATTGAAAACTACATGTTAGACAGTGAAGTTATAATTGTATTTTCTGACTCTGTATTTGGGTTTCTTTCTTTTTACACACCTTTGCCATTATGTGAATTTCATTAATTTATGTGATTAATATTTCAGTCAACTCCATTGCATTTGGCAGCAGGATACAACAGAGTAAAGATTGTACAGCTGTTACTGCAGCATGGAGCTGATGTCCATGCTAAAGATAAAGGGTAAGCATTTAAGTGTTACAATTCTAGAAACAAATTAGTAGCCTTGTAAGAAGCGTATTTTTTTTTTTACTACGCAGCATTAACATTCATTCATCTTAATCCTACCACTCATGCATTACACTTGGTAGTGCATAAAAAAATATCTGCTAAATCATGAAGGTGTCTCTAAGAGCCAAGTGATAAATAAGAGTACTACAATAGTTCCCAGAAAGGGGCAGTCAGTGATGAGTGGAATGATTCAGAAATCCTTAAGAATACTTCACCTGGATCATAATAATAGACACCAGTTCTAGAAAGCAAGAAATCACTGCAGGAGAGTTGGTATAAGTGAGGGTGCTGAAGTGGAAGGGGCAGCACATCTTGGCCTCGAACCATTGTTTGGTGGTAGAGCATTTGCCTAGTATCTGGGAGGCACTGGGTTTGATTTCAGCATTACAAAAAGAAAAACTCAGAACAGGTGTGCATTCCGGAGCAGTATAGGGTCAACTGGAGAAGGAGGTCACTAGAGGCAAAAAGAGCAGTTAGGAAAGTCAACATTGTAAGGGTTCACACATATAGCACTTCAATAGTAGAGGCAGAGAAAAACAAAAGTGAAGGTGTAGACGCAACCAATTTTACAATTTAAGAGTAGATGAAATATTTTGCAATTCTGGGCTTAAAAAAAAAGGATTCAAAGAAATCTTTCAACTCCTAAAGCTGAGTGAGACCTAATAATATACATATTGAAGTACAAGAAGGAAAATTGAGAGAAAACATTGAGTTCACTTTTAGAACTCTTCATTTTAAATAGGATAGAAACTCCAGTGATATCTACTAGATAGTCAGGAATGAAATTGGGGCCAAGGCAAATACAGAAAGAACCATGTATTAAAAAATGGTACATGTATAGTAGAAAGTTACTAACCTTGAGCCTCACATTATTTATTTATTTATTCATTTTGGGGGAACCAGGGATTGACCTCATGCCCTTCCGCTTGCCAGGCATGCGCTTATTCTACTGAGCCATCTCCCTGGCCCCAAGATGTATTATTATTATTATTATTATTACTATTATTATTATTATTATTTTTTTTTTTTTTTAATTTTTTTTTTTTTTGTGGAACTGGGGATTGAGCTCAGGCCCTTGTGCTTGCCAGGGAAGCGCTTATTCCATTAAGCCATCTCCCTGGCTATACATTGCATATTGTTGTTTTGGGTTTTTTTTTTTGTTTTTTGGCGGAATCAGGGATTGAACTCAGACCCTTGCGCTTGCCAGGGAAGCACTTATTCCACTAAGCCCTCTCCCCGGCCCCTGAAAGTTACTAACCTTTAAAGACAATACAGAGAAGTACAGAGACTAAATCACAGGTGGTTGTCATTTTTGCAAGAGGCTGTTGTGATAGTGCATGAGGTTATTAAGTGATCCCCAAGTAGAAAGTGAAGCTTAAATGTAGAGGTCAAGATTTTAAGGTCCCACTATCCAGAGGGCTAGGGAGATGGCTCAGTGGAATAAGCACTTTCCTGGCAAGCTCAAGGGCCTGAGTTCCATCCCCGGTTCCACCAAAAAAAAAAAAGAAGGTCCCACTATCCTTCCCTTACAGAAGTTCTTCCATTTCTATTATAAGTGAATAAGTTTTAGTCCTGAGAACTATAGCAGCTTACCTTATAAAATTTCAGAAATGTTCCGTGGAGAAGCCACTGTTTGTCCTGTATCTGGAAAGATGAGCCAAATTAAAGAGGAGAGGAAAATTTATCCTACACCCAGAGAATATGTGTAGAGACATACAGGAACTGTAGACAAATTTACTGCATGTAAGGCCAGAGAAAATCTTTGTGCATGCTGTGCTGTGAAATTAGAACTGTCTCTTGCAGAAAGCAAGGAAGAATAATTAAGAATGTTGTAAGAATGATAACCACATCATATTTGCCTTTTAGAAAAATTTGGCTACAAGTATGTGGATAAATTGGAGTGGGGCTATTTCAGTAGTACAGGAAAGAAGTAATATAGGCCCTTTAGTGGCAGTGGCAGTAGCAGTGTGGAAAAAAGATAGATGCAGGGGGAAAAACCTTAGGAGTTACACTTGACAACTTAAGTGTTCAACTGAATGGAACAAAATTTTTGTACATTGTTTTAAGTCATATAAGGCATTTGCTGTTTAAATTAATTAAACTAAATAATGTTCATTAGTCTGTTTCCCTAGGCCCACAGAGTTTATAATAACACAGGCTTTTTCTCTCCCTCCTCATTGTAGTGATCTGGTGCCATTACACAATGCCTGTTCTTATGGTCATTATGAAGTAACTGAACTTCTGGTCAAGGTTAGTTCTTGTATACCTTTGGTGTTTTTCCTAGAATTGTGTGAAATTATTTAAAGTATATGGTATTTTTGTTTTTTCCTGTGTTGTAAGTGCTTAATAGAGAAAAATATTCATAATCATAAAATATAGGTGATTGACTGATTAGCATCAGACTTCCAGAATTTGAGATACTATGTAGTTTACGTACTTTTTATTTATTTTTTATGTATTTAGTACAGGATCTACAGGGTCTCACTACACAGATTGGACTCTTAGTGATCCTCCTGTTTTCAGCCTCCCAAGCACTGGGATTCCAGGCGCACGCCACCACACTGAGTCTCAGTCCCTGTCTCAGTGCCCCCAGGGCCAGAGCCGGCATGGCATGCCAGAGATCCAACCCTAGTCCCTGTGTCTACCTAGGCAGGTGCTTCAGTCCACTGAGTTATCTGGCCGGCCCTGAGATACCATATAGTTTAAATGTGAAGTAGCATTACAATCATATAAATGACAGATTTGTAATTCTGTAGTTTACAGATAAAGATAAGACAATTTTTATGGAATCCTACAGTGTTAAAACCACCAGTTGGGGCAGAGGAGATAGCTCGGTGATCTAAGCACCTTCCTGACAAGCACGAGGTCTCAAGTTTGATTCCTGGTACCACGTACTCTCCAACCCCAGAACCCTGGTTACATCCTGCTGGCCACTGAAACTCGGTGTGGTGGTATGCCCCGGTAATCCCTGCATTGGGGAAGCTGAGACAGAAGGACCACTATGAGTCTAAGCAGTGTAGCAAAACCCCGTACCAAATAAATAAAAATTTTTAAGAAGATTTTTTTTAAAAAACCCCACCAGTCAAATTTGCAGAATTTGCCCAGTTACACTTGTAGGTTGGAGCAGGCTAACTTGATGATCTTCACTTCATGTGATATGCTGGCAACTGTTGTTTTAACAGACTCAAGGGTGCACGAGACTTCTTATGTTGACCCCTTTTGGTATGAGTGGAAGATACGTAACCCTATGAATTGTATCCAAGGATATTACCCACACAACTTCCTTCCTGTCCCATCTCTGTGTATACATATTCTCTATGTATAATTTATACACATCAAGACTTCCTTTACTCTATGTCCCTTTTGGTACTTTCCTCAGCCCCTGTCCTTGCTTGTTGGGTATATTCCACCATGGGATACATTTTTGTCACAGAAGCAACATTATATTAATGATTAGGATTTAATAGTGTACATTTATAGCAATAATGCTTTTGCTTCTTGAAAAACTGAGTCTTGCATTCAGCAGGACATTTAGAATATTTTTGTGGATGAGAGTGAAAAACATAGTCCGAGCATTCAAAAGGCTGAGGCATGAGTTCAAGGTCAGCCTGAATTATTTTTTAAAGTAATGGTTTTGAATCTTTTTTAAATTTTTTTTATTTTTTTTTTTTTTTGGTAGTTATAAGGTTTTTTTTGTAGTTATAAGGTGTTTTTTTTGTCTTTTTTCTTTTCAAAATTTTATTGATTGATAAACAGCAATGAGACAGTTTCAAATCAAATCGGAAGTACAGTTTCAGCAAATAATACACTGCATATATTCTTCTTCGTGGTTAATTGCTATACAAGATGCGGACTTGAGACCTATTTACAAACACCATTAGAACAAGTCATTCTATTCATTAAGAGAATGCAACTGTGTATCTATCCTAACCACGTTGAATACACAGATACAAAATGGACATTCATCGGTATACCCCATTTTTTCTAAGTTCCATTATTGAATATTATATAGGTGTGTAAACTCAGCAAAATATTCTAAGAGTCCAGTAGCCCATAATAGCATTGGGTCTTCTGTTTAACTGGCAATGTCAGAAATTATTGACCTTTGAATCTTTTTTTTAAAAATTTATTTATTTTATTTATTTATTTGTGTGTGTGTGTGGCCAGCTCAGCCCACCTGGGGGCGGGGCTGACTGACATGTGGTGCTGGGGGATTGAACCGCGGTCCCTGTGCTTTGCTAAACTTGTTTTAAGTAGATGCTTTAGACCACTGAGCCATCTCACCAGCCCAGATCCTGTCTCAAAAAAGGAGAGAACCCACTTGGGTCCCCTTCTATCCCTCTCTCAGACAGAAGCTTTATTTTCCCTGATACATTCTTCTCTTTAAGAGAGAGAGAGAGGGGCCGGGGAGATGGCTCAGTGGAATAAGCGCTTCCCTGGCAAGTGCAAGGACCTGAGTTCAATCCCCGGTTCCACCAAAAAAAGAGAGCGAGACAGGGAGGGAGGGGAGGAGGGAGGGGAGGGAAGAAATGTCAGACAGGTGTACAGGCACTTGAAACTACATGATACTTGAGCTGGGAAGTAGCTCAGTGGTAGAGCCCTTGCCCAGAACCACAAAACAGAATGGAAAGCTGACTTAGAGGCCATACTTAGAAAGGATGTTAGCTGGGGTTAGTATACAGGCAGTTACCAGAGTAGCAATGTCAGGAAAGCCAGGAGAAGGCAACTAGATAGGAATTTGGAATCCATGGAGAGGTCCTGGATAACACCAAGGTGGCAACCCTTGCTGAAGAGTCTAGGTAGAAGAAACTCATCTAGCAGCAAATATTCAGTGACCATTTTTCATGACCAGAGCACAGGACTTAGGGAGTGATAGCACCAACATATGATTCCCAGGTCATATAGTGAAGTATGATAAGTAGTCACATCACAATTTATACTTCACAATGCAATAATGGGCAATTTAAAAGCTCTAGACTTGCTTCAAACCTGCAGCAAACATGTACCAAAGAAGACAAATGCAAGTTAAAAGTACATATTTTAACTTAATGTAACAGTGAGCTTTGTAATATCAGGAATTATCTGGTAACTATGAAAGCCATATTAGCCAAGAATTGGCTCCCCATCCTTGAAAATACTAAAAGGAAAAAAAAAAAAAAAAAAAAAAAAAAAGGGGCCGGGGAGATGGCTCAGTGGAATAAGCGCTTCCCTGGCAAGCTCAAGGGCCTGAGTTCAATCCCTGGTTCCGGAAAAAAAAAAAAGAAAATACTAAAAGGGCAAGTACCAGCGCCTGCCTGGTAGGGTATGTGGCTCAGTGGCAGACTGATGACCTACCATGTGTGAGGCTATAGGCTCAATCCCTGGTAGCAGACCTAAAAAGAGCAAATAGCTGGTTTGTATTGAGTTGGTTATGCTATGAAAGGGATTTTGTGGTTGACAGGAGGTTGAACTAGTGTAACTTCAATAGTTCATTTAACTCCAATACTTGCAAATGACATAATTTTTAAAAGTCTGACAACACCGTGTTAGCAGGTGTTAGCTAGAACTCAAATATTGCTGGTGTCAGTATAGAATAGTAGAGCCACTCTAGAAAATGGTCTGGCAGTTTCTAATAAAATTAAATATTAGCTATGCTAACATATAGGACATAAAGAGATTTAAGGATATTCATAATAGTGCTGGGAGATAGCTCAACAGCCTAAGCCTGCCTGGCAAGTGCAAGAACCTGGGTTTGATCCCCAGTAATGCATGCCATGCCAGCCATCAAAACTGGGTGTGGTGGTGCATGCCTGTGATCCCAGTTCTGGGGAGCCTGAGACAGGAGGATCACTACAAGTCCCAAGCTGTGTAGCAAGATCCTGTACCAAATGAATAAAAAGATTAGGTTGCTGCAAAACCAGGATGGAGGGAGAAAGTAGAGTTCTAACCATGCTGGACAGGTACATGGATGTGTATGTCTCACCAAGGATGGCTTTGTGTTCTCACAGATAAATGAGGTCATGTCAGCAGTTCTCTCTGCAAGGATCTGGCTTGACGCACAGTTCTATAAATGCGTGTTTGTCTTGTCTTTTTATTAAGTATTGATATAATTGTAATAAATATTTTCAGATTGCCTACTGACCTTTCATCCTTATATGGTTAAATCACAGAAACTGAACCTCAAGAAGATAAAAGGCTATGTATTCAGTAAAAAATAAATAAAAGATTAAAAAGGTATATTCATAATAGTTAACTAGAAATATAGCTGGGGGATATAGTTCATTGTTAGATCTCTTGCCTAGCATACACAAAGCCTTGGGTCTCACCACAGCCATACACATACAACTAGAAATTGGCCAACTGTCCATTAAAAGATGATTGCTAGTAAATTGTGATATATCAATACCATAAAATGTTCCTCAGCAATGAAAATGAGGCATTGGTAAAATATAAATAAATCTCAAAAATGTGTGAAAGAAGTTAGATACAAGGGGCCAGGGAGATAACTCAGTGGACTAAAGCCCCTGCTTAGGCGAGCGCAGGGACCATGATTGGATCCCCAGCACCACATGCCACACCAGCCCTGCCCCTAGGGCAGGCTGAGCCGGCCAGAGTCTGGGCGTGTTGGCACATGCCTATAATCCTAGTGCTGGGGAGGCTAAAAGCAGGAGAATCACAAGTCCGAGCTGTGTAGTAAGACCCTGCAACAACTAAATACATTTTTTAAAAAGCATATACAATACTACATTTCATTTTTGTGAAATTCAAGAATATAAATATAT